ATAGTGTAGTGTGTAGTGTATAGTGTAGTGTGTAGTGTATTGTGTAGTGTAGTGCATAGTGTAGTGTATAATGTAGTGTATAGTGTAGTGTATAGTGTATTATGTAGTGTAGTGTATAGTGTAGTCTATAGTGTATTATGTAGTGTAGTGTATAGTGTAGTATTGTAAAGTGTATAGTGTAGTGTGTAGTGTAGTGTGTAGTGTAGTCAGTGTATAGTGTAGTGTAGTGTATAGTGTAGTGTATAGTGTAGTGTATAGTGTAGTGTAGTGTATAGTGTAGTGTAGTGTGTAGTGTATAGTGTAGTGTATAGTGTAGTGTATAGTGTAGTATATAGTGTAGTGTGTAGTGTATTGTATAGTGTAGTATATAGTGTAGTGTGTAGTGTATAGTGTATAGTGTAGTGTATAGTGTAGTGTATCCGCACCGGGTCCTGGGGCCTCCCCTAGGTCGACTCAGCCTCAAATCAGTTACCCGGTGCTGTGCGTCGTGAACTTCGCCACTGCGGAGATACAAAGGCGGCCGGGCAGGGGTGTCGTTTGGCCACCTACCCCCTTTCGTGTAGCCACAGCGCCGTTAGACTCCGTAGGCAGCTGCTGCTGCTGCTACTGCTGCTGTGCTCACGGGCACTTGCACACAGACAAGTCTGCCGAGGCTACACGGGGGATCTTTGTCTTTGTGCGGTGGTGGGGAGCGGTGGCGCGGCGGTTAGCGCCTCCACGCCGTGAATCGTTTCCCGTTCATGGCCACCAACACCACCAACACCACCAACACCAACATCACCACGACCACCACCAACACCATCACCAACACCACCACAAACATCACCACAACCATCACCAACATCACCACCACCATCACCAACATCACCACCACCATCACCACCATCACCAACATCACCACCACCACCATCACCAACACCACCACCACCATCACCAACATCACCACCATCACCATCACCACCATCACCACCACCATCACCACCACCACCACCATCACCAACATCACCACCATCACCTTCACCAACACCACCACCATCACCACCACCATCACCACGACCACCACCAACACCATCACCAACACCACCACAAACATCACCACCACCATCACCAACACCACCATCACCATCACCACCATCACCAACATCACCACCATCACCACCACCACCACCACCTACACCACCATCACCACCACCATCACCACCTACACCACCATCACCACCACCATCACCACCTACACCACCACCAACACCACCAACACCACCACCTACACCACCACCACCATCACCATCACCACCACCATCACCACCACCATCACCACCACCACCACCACCACCTACACCACCATCAACACCACCATCACCAACATCACCACCATCACCACCACCACCACCACCTACACCACCATCACCACCACCATCACCATCACCAACATCACCACCATCACCACCACCACCACCATCACCACCACCACCATCACCAACACCTACACCACCACCACCATCACCATCACCACCACCATCACCACCACCTACACCACCATCACCACCACCATCACCAACATCACCACCATCACCACCACCATCACCATCACCAACATCACCACCAACATCACCACCATCACCACCACCATCACCACCACCATTACCACCATCACCAACAACCACCACCATCACCACCACCACCATCACCACTACCACCATCACCACCTACACCAAAACCAACACCACCACCATCACCACCAACACCACCACCAACACCACCATCACCATCACCAACACCACCACCTACACCAACACCACCACCATCACCACCAACACCACTACCACCATCACCAACATCACCACCACCACCACCTACACCATCACCACCACCTACACCATCACCACCATCACCACCACCATCACCACCACCATCACCAACATCACCACCACCATCACCAACATCACCACCACCATCACCACCATCACCAACATCACCACCACCACCATCACCAACACCACCACCACCATCACCAACATCACCACCATCACCATCACCACCATCACCACCACCATCACCACCACCACCACCATCACCAACATCACCACCATCACCTTCACCAACACCACCACCATCACCACCACCATCACCACGACCACCACCAACACCATCACCAACACCACCACAAACATCACCACCACCATCACCAACACCACCATCACCATCACCACCATCACCAACATCACCACCATCACCACCACCACCACCACCTACACCACCATCACCACCACCATCACCACCTACACCACCATCACCACCACCATCACCACCTACACCACCACCAACACCACCAACACCACCACCTACACCACCATCACCATCACCACCACCATCACCACCACCATCACCACCACCACCACCACCACCACCTACACCACCATCAACACCACCATCACCAACATCACCACCATCACCACCACCACCACCACCTACACCACCATCACCACCACCATCACCATCACCAACATCACCACCATCACCACCACCATCACCACCACCATCACCACCACCACCATCACCAACACCTACACCACCACCACCATCACCATCACCACCACCATCACCACCACCACCACCTACACCACCATCACCACCACCATCACCAACATCACCACCATCACCACCACCATCACCATCACCAACATCACCACCAACATCACCACCATCACCACCACCATCACCACCACCATTACCACCATCACCAACAACCACCACCATCACCACCACCACCATCACCACTACCACCATCACCACCTACACCAAAACCAACACCACCACCATCACCACCAACACCACCACCAACACCACCATCACCATCACCAACACCACCACCTACACCAACACCACCACCATCACCACCAACACCACCACCACCATCACCAACATCACCACCACCACCACCTACACCATCACCACCACCTACACCATCACCACCATCACCACCACCATCACCACCACCATCACCAACATCACCAACATCACCACCACCACCATCACCAACATCACCACCACCATCACCACAATCACCAACTCCACCACCACCATCACCAACTCCACCACCACCATCACGAACATCACCACCACCATCACCAACATCAAGTGGCGGTGACGTCACCACGAAGCTTGTGCCAGGCCATGTGCACCCTGAGGCCACGTGAAGTGTCGAACGCCCGCTGGCAGGAGGTCACGGGACAGACCCAGGTGCCACGGGTCGACTGACTGAGATGACTGGCTGATGCACCACCTGTGCCCCCTACTGTGCCAACCTGCTGTGCTTTAGCCACCCGGCGCTCCGCTCGTTGTTCTGAGCGTCGCTCCTCCGCCCTCCGTTGTTGTTGGAGGGCGACTGCCTCCAACTGCCCAGTAGCGTCCTTCACGAGCCTCCTCCACAGAGGCCG